GATTACTCAAACATCCACTGAAATATAACTCTGTGAAAGCATTTACTGAAGTAATCAAAGGAACATAGAGGTTTCAGACATTTTATATTTGTAAAATCCCTCAGTCATCCAAGTCAAGTCCATGGTGAATGAGAAATTCAACTTGTCAACTGAACAAAAGTTGACAGCTATTCATCTGGACATGTTTAACACACAAATCCTACATATTTAGAGTAATTCTCTGAAGCAGAAACACACCTTGTGATGTCATGTGGTAATATAAGAAGCTCCATACACTCCATACACCAGGGGTGTCCAAATCTTTGTCATGAAGGTTTGCAAATCAAAACACAGGTAAAGTGGAGGGCCAATTGAGGGCCATAGTTTGGTGATCAGTATAGACAATAATTCATATCTGTACATTTATAAGCCGTTAGAATGAGCAACACAACCTTTATTCATGCTTAGATCTTCACCCAATTCGGTATTTTTGCTTCACCATGATAGATTTTCAAAAACATGCGGTGAAAAAGTACTGCTTAATGTAATACAGGCCAATTCACCTGGAAGCCTGAGGGGCAAGAAAATTTAGTTTGAGGGCCGCATTTGGCCCACAGGCCATAGTTTGGACATGCCTACTTATACCTTCACTAGAATTATTATTACAGTCCTGGAATTGCTCATCTCTAATGAACTAAAGATAAAAGATAGCTGTTAACTTGAAAACTGCTACTTGATGACATCACAAGGTGGAACAGAGCATTTTGAGCTTTGGAGATGTAGACATTTAAAAAATGTAGGATTACTCAAACAGGTGTCAATGAAACAAAACTAACTACAGGTGTTTTTTTGTTTTTTTTAATAACATTATAACATGGTTTAAAGTGCACAAGAAAAACAATGTCTTTGCAACTGAAAATTGAAATACCCCTGCCTATATATATATATTTATTTCATAGAATAATAGCTGTTGTGAATCATAATAATGTAAAGCTTGTCTTAACAAAGGCACATAACAAGAAACCACCACACTATACTTGACTGACATCTAGTGCTTGCACTTAAGAATTACACTTTAAAAGGACATTATCTTGCTGAGTTAAGTCTTGTTTTTTTTCCTTGTACAGGGGTACCATCTAGTGGACATACAACGTAATTGCTAAAAAAAAAAAAAAAAAAAAAACTAAACAAAAGGCAATTTTGGGGCAGAAATGAAATTCACGGTCACTCTTACGATTCAGAATGCTCTTGGTCACAGAAAAAAAAAATATATATATTTTTGATTCAAGATCAATCTTAGGTTTACCATGTGTTGTACGTATTGTGTGTATTTAACACACACGTATGACACATGACATATAGCTTACAACACTAACCCAGTTCGAGCTTAATTTTGCAATTAAATTATTTGAATTCAAGGAGAATATTTTAAGTAAGTACTGCCTCATTACACAGCAAATACAAAATTGCGCATATAACATTCAATCCCTGGTGATTAGTAACAAGTAAAATTAACGTTAAAATAATAGCCTATAAGTAGGCTTCAAAATAGTACTGCTACTCAAGTAATACAAAAATAGGCCTATTTGAGGAATCTACAACTCAAGTCAATACTAATAAATGTCTGGACGGAACATCTGATTTATAATCTTGCTGATTTCATTGAAAGAGCAAAACCTTATTTTCAGAGGATAAACAAAAATGAGAAAATAATCAGTCATACATGACGGAGTGGAAACATTGTTTTAAATCATTTAATAGTGTCAAGATAAAACATCAAAAGTATAGATCAAAATATAAAAACTTTTACTCCAGTAAAATAGGCCCACTGTTACTTCAACAAAACAAAACATTAGGGTTAGGGCCTATGCATTACATTACGAAAACTATATCCCAAATGTATATATACACATATATATATATACACACACACACACACACATATATATATATATATATATATATATATATATATATATATATATATATATATATATATATATATATATATATATATATATGCACACATACTGTATATAGGAGGCAATATTAAAATTTCTAATGCCTTTAAGACTATCCATTTGATTATCCATTTATCCATTTGATTCTCACAAGCAATAAGCTTGCAAGTAATAATAAGCAATAAGCAATAAGAAAGTAATTGCAGAACCAATCTGCAAGAAATCTGCAAAAAAAAATTAAGCTTTTGTAACGCTAAACGCGTTTAAAAACAGGCTAGTTTGGATTAGGGAGGCCTGCGAAATAGAGAAAGTGAGAAAATACTATTTGCAGTGGTCAGATTGCTTGGGATTTAGGCTGTTTTTTGTTTTCACAGATCTATTCTGCTTTCTCTCATCATACTGTACATCGGTCCTCAATTTTTGACCTGTTTAAAGAGAAATCGATAGAGGTAAGGATGATGCAAACCCATGCGGTCTGGACAGTCAGCACTACACGCTACGGCGAGGCTGAACGTATTCTTTGTATTATTCAGTTGCACTTTGATCCAGTCTCGTGGTCTGTTTTAACATTGCAAATTATAACAACAATACCAAACTGTAAACTAAAAGAACAGTTTCACAAAATTGCACTGACCACAAATCTGACTCGTCTGGTACGTGCTCTGGGCCTTTTACGCGCAGTGATTTCGGTTGTTGCCAAAAGTGTTATATATTACTAAAATAAACGTTTGCATACTTGTTATCCCTTTAACATGACTTGTTCAGAGATTCACAAACATAAACATGCAGTTGGTAAAAATGGGTATTGTGTGTGGTATTGTTGTGATAAAAATAAAGCCTAAACTTGTGCATTAATCACTTTTACGCACTATTATGGTTGTATTTTAAATATTGTGTTACATACAAAATGTACATACAGTAGGCCTTCTCCGATTTGTTTTCAGTATTGCGGTGTACCTTCATAGCCTATCACATAATAGTGACAGTTAAAGATTTTCTTGAATATTTGCTTATGTTTAGTGATTAGCCATCTTAAATATTTCAATATACAATATCAGAACTTACATACTGGATGGTGGGTCAAAAGTAATGTTATAAAAGGACAAACAAATAGTATGCGGCATTTCTGTAGTCCAACATACACTCCGCTCTGCTGTGTGCGTAATCCATCCAATCCATCCACCATAGCTGTGTCTTTGCGTTTCTTATCGCCCCCAGGAACTTGAACGAGGGAAGCTGCAAGTTTATTACCAAGGACAAAAGACGGCGGAAGGCTTCCTTCAAAGGCCGCGTGAAAACACGCAGACTGTGGCTCCTGACGCCGTAAAAGTGAAGGACGATAAGCTGTGAATGACACTAAACCTTGGCGCATTTTCTTATTGCAGACGCCTTTGTGACACGAAAAGAGTAGGCTACAGGTAACATGTGGAGTAGTGGTACAAAAACATTTGTACACATGAGAACAGAGCAAAACTCAGCCCTGTATTATTTTTGAACATTGCCCATAAAATGCAATGATGTGCTAGTTTAACAATATTTTTTGTTGACTAAATAAATAAATAAATAAATAAATAAATAAATAAATAAATAAATAAATAAATAAGAGTAGGCTATAGCCAGTGTATAATATTTGCACCCAGTCTTTTTGTTCATTTTTTTTTGCAATTCAGTATCCTCAGGTTATAAATTCAAAAGCAAATAGGCAGCTGCATAGTAGACCTACGCCAAAGCTGTACAGCGTAATAGCCAATTCATCCATACGTGTGTCACGACTTTGTCAGAAATCAGTTTTCCAGGCATGCGTAATGTATTCATTATTTGTTTCCACCATTGCTGTTAAACTCTTTATAAGACCAGCGGGAGCACGGGGGATATTTACGCTGAATTGTTTCGTAAAATGTTGTAACTGAAATTAAATTGAGCAGATAACATCACATCTTTGGTAGTGTGTACATTTCTCAGATTCACTCGTCAGTCTTGGTTTTAATCAGTTGTTGTTTAACTTTTTGTTCACATGTTGTGTACTGAAGTGTAATAACAGAACAATATTATTGTCGATGGACGCGCGTTATTGCCCCACTGCACATTATTATCAGGCTTCTGTGTTTCTCGTTAAAATACACATACCAAGACTAGTTTGGCAAGATAGCCTGATTGTTGATAGAAGGCTAACAGCCACCATAACAACCAAACTACAAAGATAACAGGTTTATTAAAATACGCTGCCACCTAGGGATGCAGTCCTGATTAAATTAATATATTTTGAAATTCAGATTCATAAAAATAATAAAGGAAAATGCATATAAAATTAATTGACATATTGTTCAATTTAGCTATTGTAAGTACTCGCAAACACACTGAGCATTCTGCAACCAAACCATACAGATTTAATCAAACAATGACTTAATACAAAGCCCAGCTTGTTAATTTAATTTATAATGACACTTGTATATACTGTTATAATGTAAAACGTGCAAAATATGACAATGCGTAATACGCAAAACGAACAGTGGCTCAGGGAAAATTATAAACAAAGATTCTATGTTTTCAGCAACCTGGAGACAGTGTGTTTAGAAAGGTTAAAATATTTTTATTTTTTGTACAGACTTAACATCAAAACACATCAAACAACAACAACAACATCAAACAACAACATAAAAAAACATGTATACAATACTTTTTTCAGCAATAAGAGTGATGACCTTACTTTACACGTAGCCTAAATATACTTTAGCCAATTTCTATCCACTGTCCATTTCCCCTTTTTCTTTTCAGATCACCCTCTGAGTCCTCCCCCTATGCCGTGGACTTATTCCTATCACTCTTATTAATGTTTAATAATACCACACAGATGGATGGGGTTCAGCCACAGCCTCCTCCCACACAACACTCAAATATGTCCTCATGGACTACCTAGCAGAGCAGTATTGGGAACAAGGGTGGGGCCCAACAACATGGTTTACATATCACGTGACCCCGTATTAACAAATCAACAATTACCTTGGCTTTATTCTTGAGGAGTTGCTAAAAGGCTCACACGAAACGTTAGCGCAAAGCTCAATGGAAATGTGCGAGCGGACTCCTTTAAATCCGGGCTACGTTGGTTCTTTGCTTAATTTGGCTGCGCCTGATTCGCTATATTTCTCCAACCTTCGGGGCAATGGAGCCCATATTCCCGGGCTTCACCAGGTCCCTTACAACAGGAGAGACATGTGCACGTTCCCCTGGACTTCCTCAAGTTCGTGTGCGTCTGGGGGAGCAGCCACACCGCCAGGGCAGAGCCGCACATTCGGAGGCTATTGTCCACCGTTCCTACCCAACTCTGTGTCGATAAACACCAGAACCAAGGCACCGGGCTTTCAAGACTTGAATCACAAGCGAGAGCAGCCTGTCAGAGCGGATGAAGGCTACGTGGCGGAGCGGGTCTACTCTGAGCTAGGCGGCAGACCACCGCTAGGCGCAGATGCTATGGGTCCAGTGAGTGAGTCCGTGCAGATCGGGGGCCACGATGCGCCCAGTGGGGACACATGCGCCAGGAGCAGCTTCAGTGAAGGTCAGCCTCCTCCTGACGCTCACGGGGCTTTATGACACCTTACAGCCAGTCCTATGCATTCCCACAACAACTTCAAGAATGGTAGACTCAATTGTAGCCTATGTTCACTCACTCATGTGTAGTCTATAGTTCTTAAGGAATGCCCAGATTTTCATGTAGCACCATTTTATCTTATAATTATTGTTATTGTTATCTTATAATTAAATTGCTGTAACAATGGCAACGACTGTAATAACTTTACAACGCTGTTAATTCGTCCTGTTTACAGTTTAACAATTTACATCAACATTTCTATACAAATTTAAACTGATTCGTCAGTAGTTTATAACATTTCAGCTTTTAGGTCACCAGGTGAATTAAAATTAATTTCCTTCTGCCTAAATAAAGTATTATCTATGTATCTATGTGTGTATCTATGTATCTATCCATCTATATTTTACAATGTTATTGTTATTGAACTATATATCCCTTTTCTCTCACACCCTCGTATGCATCACCAGCGTAAAGAGGCAATGATATTCTTCTCTCTGATGGCCAAGATACTGTTAATCTGCACCACTAATCTGAACTCTCCTCCCATGATCACATAGGTGCCCCTTGGTGCTCGTCACAAGTCAAAACCAGAAAGAAGCGGAAGCCTTATTCCAAGCCGCAGCTTGCGGAATTGGAGAATGAGTTCATGATGAACGAGTTTATCAACAGACAGAAACGGAAAGAGCTGTCGGACAGACTGGACCTCAGTGACCAACAAGTGAAGATTTGGTTCCAGAACCGCAGGATGAAGAAGAAACGGCTGATGATGCGAGAGCAGGCCTTCTGTGCGTATTGACGCACGGCCTTTGGACTTGATCCTGACTAGCAACTTGTCAATAAGAGACTGTTCATATGAATGCCACCCAAGAACCACCGCGTTACTGGTTATTAAACACTGACAGTCTAACTAAGAAGTCATGGCACAGTATTATCCTAATTGCTCAGTGTGAAACGGGCAATTATTCATGCGCAATAAGACAAAGGTTAAAAACCAGTCAGATGTTATTTTTCCAATTCCAGAAAGGCCTTGTGTACACTGGCCTCGATTCATTCAACACACCTTTAGCGTAAATGTTTATAGTAAAGCAAACATCTCAACGCTGAAACGTGCCATGCACCGTAGTGTTTGTGCTATTATTGAGTTTTAGCTTGTGGCTGAGATCAAGTTCACGTCTACGACTGAAGATCATAGAAGTGCATGGTGAAATAGCTGTAATTCAGTCAAATGCGTGATGTGTTTGGTTTAAATGCAATGGGAATTTGCGCGAGAACATTGGTATGTGGTTGGCTATTTTATTCAAAGCGCTTTGTTTATGCACCATGTCATTATTGGTATTGAACATAATGAATGTATTAATTAGGTGTGAGGATTTACCATGGAAAGTCTTTAAACATGGATTTAAGGTGAGGCCACAGATCACACCGCGTGGGCTTCTCTGTTGTACTTGTTGTTATATACATTATTTATATTTGTGTTGCTTATATTATTTTAAGGTCATTCCTCATTGCATGTTTTTTGTATAATAGTGAATGTGAATAACATCAAAATGCTTTTGCGCACGGCAATGCGTTTTTACGCAACCCTGGCGCGGCTACATTTGTGAATAAAAAAATTACATTTTGTGCACAAATTTTTGACATTTTAAATTATTGTTTCTAGTAAAGTACTAATTAAAATATGCAAATCAATAACCCATGACCATTGGATTAATTTGTGTATGGGTGCAGCATGTAATTTCTTGTGAAAGCAAGAATTTTCCCACTTTTCTAATGCGCACTACGTGAAATATGTAGAAACGCAATGCGCAAAGGCAATTATTGCAACGGCTTTCGTCAACAAATTGAAATATGTGAGTTTTGCATTATCGTCTAAAGGTTAGTTATTTTTCAGTGACTATTAATGTATATTATATTAACCATTATTATGAGTTGGTAACGAGTCTGTGTAGTCCTTTATTCTTTATACTGCCCAGTGCATTGTGAGACCAGACAAAATGCGGCCTATATGTGATGTCCACATGTTGCTGTAGTGATAATCCGTGTGCAAAGAAGATGTAATTTCTCCAGAAGGACGTGGCGCCATTTGAAAGTGTGCAATGGATGATCTTATATAGTGTTCTAACTTTTTCGTGTTTATCTGGGTGTTTATGTGCCAAGAATACTAGGGTTTATAACATATAGTTTATTTAAATCTCATACCAAAAGACGCAGTTACAACGATCATAAATGGGCTCTTGGTGCGTCACACCATCACGTCATCCCCGCAACGCAATTAAAAAAAAAATAAATAAAAAAATCAGCCGCAAGTACAAGAGGCGCATGGAGGTGATGGTTAGCCTGCATTTCACAACACAACTTTGTAGCACTCCGTTTTTTCCCCAATATAATTGTGAAATATGTTTCTTTGTGTTTAGATTTCAACAAGTCTATTTGTATCCTAAACGTGTGTGGATGTTTTATATCTAATCCGCTTCATGAGGGCTGTCTGCTTTGGCTCACATTCCTGACTGCACCACTTTTATTGCGCGCTTTACTTTGAACAGTTAAGCACAGCTTTCTATAGGCGACGGTTTCCTTGAGTATTTGTTGCTTTATTGCTTTACTGCCAGACAGCGCCATATACAGCCCCTGCAACTTCAGATAGAGGGGGCACCAAAACAAAGTTAAGGTCAAGTTAGTAGGCTGCATATTGGTGCTTCTATCACAAGTTGCTTTTACGCAAATGATAAGAAAATAAAACATCCGAAACGCACAAAGAGACGCCTTGTATGGATTTAGTTGCCTATATCTAATTTGAAATTGCC